TCCAAATCCACAATGATGTGTACCAACTGTCACAAGACTAATCATACAGTGGATACCTGATATTTCAAACATGGCTTCCCTCCATGTTATCACACCAATAATAATCAAAAAAATTCTTCTACTGAGTCCAAGTCTATTAATTCTTCAGAGAAACCACCCAATATCTACAAAGAAGACTACCAACATCTACCTTTTTTGCTACAATAATCCAGGAAAGATAATGCAAAGAGATTCACAGATAACATAGTCTCCAATGACACAACCGATATTATATCAAGTATCTTTGATTTAGGTGATAATTTAAAGCATTTTTCCTAGTGGATACTTGACTCGGGGGCATCTGACCATGTTTTCCCCCCACATTTAATGTTTCTCCACACTTACTATTATTGATCCCATCACCATTCACTTCCCTAACAATTATACTATCACTGCCAATTTCTCTGGCACCATCAATCTTGACAAGCATTTACAACTGCATAACATTCTTTACATACCCGAATTCAAGTTCAGTTTAATTTCCATTTCTAAACTTTGACAAACTTTAAAGTTTGCAATACATTTCTCACATGACTCTTGTCACATTCAGGATGTGTCTACCAAGACGATGATTGGACAAATGGTTTAGCATAATAACCTTTAATCCTTCACAAAGCATCCATTTTCACTCATCTCATTTGTAATAACATCAATATTAGTGATCATACCTCTTGTAACTCTGACTATGCTGATAATAATAACACTTTCAATATGTGGCACCACCGGCTAGATCACCCCTCTAATGAGGTTTTACATACCATGTCTCATTTTTTCCTCATATCAAATATAATAAAACTATGCTTTGTCATTCTTGCCACTTTGCCAAACAATGTAGACTTTCTTTTCCTGATAGTAATTCACATTCATCTCATATTTTTGAATTAGTGCATAGGGATATTTGGAGGCCTATTGCCACCCACTCTTTAGATGGCTTCCAATATTTCTTAACTTTATTAGATGATTTCTCTCGTTACACATGGACTTTTTTAATGCATAACAAATCTGAAACTAGAGATCACATTAAATATTTCATTACTTATTGTAATACTCAATTTTCTTGCAAGATCAAAACCATTCGTAGTGATAATGGTACTGAATTCATTATGCCTACTTTTTATGCATCTTTAGGAATCATTCAATAAAGAAGCTATGTTGAAACACCTCAACATAACTTTGTTGTTAAGAGAAAACACAAACATCTTCTAAATGTCACTAGATCTCTTTTATTTCATGCACATCTTGCTAAATGTTTTTGGTCATATGTTGTTTTCCATGCTACTTATTAGATTAATAGAATATGCAGTCCCCCCATAGACAACAAAACACCCTATGAATTACTTTTTCACTAATCCCCATCCTTTGGCCACATTAAAACTTTTGGCTTCCTCACATATGCCACCATCTTAATTAGAAATAGGGACAATCTTGACCCTAGGGCTCAAAAATGTATTTTCCTTTGCTATCCCAATGGAATCAAATGATTCATTCTATTTAACCTTCACACAAGATCCACCTTAACCTCTAGAAACTACATCTTCTATGAAATCACATTCCCTTACAGAATCCCCATTTCCAATCATTCCACCAATTCCAATAACTATCCCATTGATGTTGAGAACACAGTTCACTCCATCTTTGAATCTTTCTTACATAGTCATTACAATCCTACTCCTACATTCTTTCCTAGTTCTACGCCACCTCTTACCACCATAACTCCTACATCCTTTCCTAGTCATGAACATGCCATTACCCAAAATTCCTCTTCTAATAATTCCATTATTAATCCAGACCCTCAACTTCCCACATCTCCTCCACATTCCCCCATTAACCCACCCGTCAACCGTAGAAAATATAAAAGATCTACTAAACAACCTGCACACCTATCTGACTTTATTTGTAATACATCTCATTCACTCATCCCTTATGATGTTTCCAAATTCCTTACTTACTCAAACACTTCCCCCACATATCATACATTCATATTTATCATAACTATTATTCGTGATCTCGTCTCTTACAAATAGACTGTTATTCAACCTCAATAGATTGAGGCTATGAATAATAAAATCTAAGCTCTTACCACCAATAAAACATGCATTTTAACAACTATTCCCCCGGTAAGAAAACTATTGACTGCAAGTGAGTTTACAAAACCAAATATCTATTTCCATACTAAATTATTATAATTAAAATGTCCTTAATACCATTTTTGCAAGTTTATTGCAATAAAATATTTCATTATTATAATTAAATTAATTTGTTTTATGTGTTGGTGCATGTATTCAATTTTTAATAAAATTGACATAATTATTAAATAAAAGCGTTCTTTTATATATATATATATATATATATATATATATATATATATATATATATATATATATATATATATATATATATATATATATATATATATATATATATATATATATATATATATATATATATATATATATATATATATATATATATATATATATATATATATATATATATATATATATATATATATATATATATATATATATATATATATATATATATATATATATATATATATATATATATATATATATATATATATATATATATATATATATATATATATATATATATGTGTGTGTGTGACTCTTCATTCTTGAACACTTCATAAGAGCATAATTTTCCATTTCATCTTAATTGTTGATTCACATTCAACAATCATATACACCAAATATAAGCCAAATATAAGACAGATAGAAAATAACTCTAAAAATCTAATATAAATGTGACATTAAGTCATACACCAATATTCTTTTTATACACACTTACAAAATTCTACCTCATTCAAACACTAAAAAATTAACATTTTGCAAAGTATCTTCTAATTATTACATAACCATAACCATTATGTTCGACTTTTTATGGAATTTTGTTCCTTACTATATAAAAAGATAGAATCATTGTTTTTTGGTAAGATAACGAAAAATAAATAAAAAGTAAGACAAAATCATTGCTAATAATATTTGATGTTCAATAGGCATATATTCTATACACTTTTTATTTTACTAATAAAGTAATAAAAAGGAAAACTTTAAAAAAAGAGAACAAAAAAAAAGTTAATAAAAGAAATATTCCGGAATATAAAAATCTAGAATGGATATATACTACCACCTTCCAAAAGAGTGATTCTCAACTAAATGATTAGTATATTTTAGTACAATGATGGATGACCATGAATATTATTTAGTATTTACAACTAAGTCTACACCAACCCTTACCAATTGGCAGCCTCACTTGATCAAACCACTACCAAGCAAAACATACAAAGTCAAGAAAATAATAATAATAATAATAATAATAATAATAATAATAATAATAATAATAATAATAATAATAATAATAATAATAATAATAATAATAATAATAATAATAATAATAATAATAATAATAATAATCATCATCATAATAATAATAATCATCATAATAATAATCATAATAATAATAATAATAATAATAATAATAATAATAATCATCATCATCATAATAATCATCATCATCATCATAATAATAATAATAATAATAATAATAATAATAATAATAATAATAATAATAATAATAATCCTAATAATAATAATAATCATAATAATAATAATCTTTATAATAATAATAATCATAATAATAATAATCTTAATAATAATAATAATAATAATAATAATAATAATAATATTAATAATAATAATAATAATAATAATAATCATAATATTAATAATAATAATAATATTAATAATAATAATCATAATAATAATAATCATAATAATAATCATAATAATAATAATAATAATAATAATAATAATAATAATAATAATAATAATAATAATAATAATAATAATAATAATAATAATAATAATAATAATAATAATAATAATAATAATAATAATAATAATAATAATAATAATAATAATAATAATAATAATAATAATAATAATAATAATAATAATAATAATAATAATAATAATAATAATAATAATAATAATAATAATAATAATAATAATAATAATAATAATAATAATAATAATAATAATAATAATAATAATAATAATAATAATAATAATAATAATAATAATAATAATAATAATAATAATAATAATAATAATAATAATAATAATAATAATAATAATAATAATAATAATAATAATAATAATAATAATAATAATAATAATAATAATAATAATAATAATAATAATAATATTCAATTAATCAACTAGTTAGATTAAAATAGTTAATAAACTTCCATTGACTTTAAATGTTTGAGACAATCAAGATTCACATTTTAATTGAACAATTTATAAGTATAGACTAAATTACTATCTAAGAAATACTTAGATAAATTGGTAATGAATCTCTTTTGCCTTAAACAAAAATATTACTGTATTCGAATTCAACCCTAGTTATATTTATCGTTTATTTTAGTTTTTTTTTTAATTCCAGAGATTAATCTCTACCACTTTAAAGAATAACTCATAGTATTAAAACTTAAAACTTAAAAAGTCTAGTTTAGAACCATTCTGCTATTGCTGACATTCAACAAATAGCTGCTATATACTTTTATTTCACACTCTGTGGATATAAATTAATTTGACCAAATAATTGTACAAAAAAAAAAAATTGTCAACTAGCTCAACACCAAGGAAATCTGTGTGCATATATAACATCAACAACAACTATTATCAAACAAAAACATAGTCAAAATTCAAAACCCATTACAACTTGCAATAATAATATTCTTGCAACAAAAATCAAGCCAGCAAAGCAGACCCATGTTTCATTGATTCAACAAGTTTGTGTTTTACACGCAGAGAAAAAAAAAAAAAAACAATGGCTATCCAAATTGTTTTATAATAATACTTTCTTTCTTTAATCGCTTAAATAATAATCCTTTTTTTTTCTTTCTTCATCTATCTATCTATCTTCTATCTTCAATGAAAAGTCATCATAATCATAATCTCCTTCATTCTTCTTTCACTTCTGAAAACAACAACAACTCTATCCTCCAATTAAACTCAAATAACCAATTCACAAAAAACATGGCGATATCACCTCAAACTTTTCCCACAACTAAACGACCACCTTCAGAGTCGTCGTTTATCTCTCCAAACTTCACCAACTTCAACCTCCTCCACTCTCTCTTATACCTCACCAAACAAATATGTTCATTAAACGCACCTCCTTGGTGTCGTTTTCTCTTAAACAAAACCTCCTCTTCCATCATCCGTAAAACGCAACTCCTCGGCCTCGTTTTCGAAGACCTAACTCGCAATTCTGATTCAATTTCAATATCAATTACAACTTCAACTTCAACTTCAACTTCAACTTCAACTTCAACCACTCTTTGTTCAAATTCTTTCGTCCTTTGTCTCGAAGAAATGTACATAGTGTTACACAGGATCAAAGCCTTGATAGAAGATTGTTCCAATGGTAGCAAATTCGCTGTATTAATGCAAATTGAAACCATCGCTGACAATTTCAACAAACTCACCGGAGAATTATCAACACTTCTAGATGTTTTTCCAATTCATCAGTTTAACTTCAACGACGATGTTTTGGAGATTGTTCATCTCATCAGAAAACAATGTTCAGAATCAAAGCTTCTATTAGGTGAAGAACAAGTTAGTCTCCGAAACGATGTAGTTTCCGTTCTCGAAGGGATTAAAAGAGAGATTATCCCGAATCAGGAGAAACTAGCTTCGATTTTTGAGAAATTGGAGATTCGCGATTCGAGAAATTGCAGTAGCGAGATTGAAAGTCTTCAAGAAGAGATTCAGAATCGAAGCGAAGAACAATCGAAATCCGATATGTTTGCTTTGATCGGCCTCATTCGATACGCGAAGTGTGTACTCTTCGGAGCATCAACGCCGTCATCGAGAAACGAAACACTCCGGCGGAATCAGTCGTTGGAGGTTGTTGTTCCGGCAGATTATCGTTGTCCGATCAGCTTAGAACTGATTCGTGATCCTGTCGTCGTGGCAACAGGACAGACGTATGATCGTGCCTCCATCAAGTTATGGATTGAATCTGGACACAACACGTGTCCCAAAACAGCTCAGACCCTGGCCCACACAGATTTAATACCTAACCATGCTTTGAGAAACATGATAGCTTTGTGGTGCAGAGAACAGAAAATTCCGTATGAAGATGAAACGGTAACCGTTAAAATAAACGGCGGGGGTGACCAATAAAACAGCGTTGGAAGCTACGAGAATGACGGCGTCGTTTTTAGTCAACAAGTTGAAGTTGACTAATGGTTCAATGGAAGAGACAAACGGCGTCGTTTATGAGCTTCGAGTGTTAGCGAAAACTGATTCAGAGAGCCGAGCCTGTATAGCCGAAGCTGGAGCTATAAAGCTTTTGGTTCGGTTTTTAAGTTATGAAGTTGGATCGAACAACCCGAGCCTACAAGTTAACGCCGTGACAACGATTTTAAATCTTTCTATACTTGAAGCGAATAAGACAAGGATAATGGAAAGTGATGGGGCGTTAAATGGGATAACCGAGGTTTTACGAGCAGGTGCCACGTGGGAGGCGAAATCGAATGCTGCAGCGACGGTGTTTAGTTTAACGGGAGTTGTTGGTTTTAGAAAACGCTTAGGGAGGAAGACACGTATCGTTAGTGGATTGGTTGAGTTAGCGAAAAGTGGGCCTGAGGGAGCAAAGAGAGACGCGCTGGCGGCGATTTTGAATTTGGCGTCGGATCGTGAGACTGTGGCAAGGTTAGTTGAGAGTGGAGCGGTTCAAATGACGGCGGAGATTATGGCGGGGATGCCGGAGGAGGCTGTGACGATACTTGAAGCGGTGGTTAAGCGGGGAGGATTGGTGGCGGTGGCGGCGGCTTTTATGGGCATAAAGAAATTGGGTAAGGTGTTGAGGGAGGGATCGGAGAGGGCAAGAGAGAGTGCGGCGGCTACGCTTGTGACAATGTGTAGGAAAGGTGGATCGGAGATTGTGACGGAGCTTGCGGCGATTGATGGTGTGGAGAGGGTGATTTGGGAGTTGATGGCGGTGGGGAGTGTAAGAGGGAGGAGGAAGGCGGCTACGTTGTTGAGGATTTTACGGCGGTGGGCGGCTGGTTTGGACGGTGGTGAAACGGAAGGGTTTTCAACAAACAACAGTTCTGTTAGTGCGTCAACTAGCGTGGTTGTTTCAACTACCACTTCATTGGTACAATAGCATAATTAATTTGTAAATTTCTCAACTTGTTGTGAGTTAGTTTGTCTTTTTTTACTTTACCTTTATTTTAATTGATTTTACCATTCTTGTAAAATGTAGTCTTTGGAGTAATGTGTTTTTTTATTAAAAATATATAAATACATTCTTTGATTATTTGTATCTCTTTTTATTTTAAATTGAGCTGCTATTTGCTTTGTTATGATGCTATTTGCTATAAAGTAGAAAGTAGAGCTCACAAAATTGGTCGAAGCTCATGGGCTGGTGCCCATTGGGCTCCGAAAAAGTTAAGGTTTAGATCATATTTTTTTAGTCTATTTATTTTTTATCTTAATTGATCAGACTTGGACCGTTACGACTGCCTCCGAGTAGAAGTTGAGTGAGATGGAGGTACTTGCAAGACACTCCGATGTTAAAATGAGTGACAGAATGAGCAGGCAAAAAAGCGTACATATGGGTAAGAGATTGAATACCTGACCCACTAGAAACAGAGGGTATTTATAGGCCCCAGCGCGGGGCCAAGGTCCCCTCATTGGGTCGCCCAGAACTGACTCAATAAAGGAACTGTCAAGTTCTACGTGTGTAGTGGGGACCCGTACGTGGTCCCCTCATTTGGAATGCTGGTTCGCGTTTGCGTTTGTTTTCGCAAAATGTCGCGGTAAGCAAGAGTCGCCACCGTCTTTTATTTTATCCAACAAGGAAAGGACAAAAGCACAGAAAAATTTATTTTTGAGATATTTCTCGGGTTCGGGAGGTAGATTATAGAAATGGAAGGTGTTAGCACCCTTTCTATCCGTGGTTATCCACGGGCTCTTAGGTACTTGCTCACTATGTTTTCAAAAGTTTACTTTTCTTTGTGATTGTGGGTTTGAAAAGAATTTTGTTTTTGGAGAGAGTGTAAGTGCGAAAAGTTTTGTTTTTGTTTTCAAAATGAGCAAGTACTTAAGAACATCTACCTATTCAAAAAAGGAATTAAACTGTGCAAGTATCCTTTAGACAATGCTAGCCCACTATTGATGAGTAGGTATCATCGTCGTTGGAGTTTTCGGGTCAATTCGATTAAGGGACGTGTGGTCACTAAAGCAATGTTAGGACGCCTTAGCGGTAACCCTAATGTCTTAGATCATTTTATCCGAGGCAACCGTTTCGAGGCAACTTATGATCTTTGGACAAGAGGGCGACCTCTAAAACTTCCTATACTCAATGACCACGTTCGAGGCAACCAAGGGAGGTATACCCTAGGAGTGGCATGTGCGAGTGTATTGTTTTTCAGTTATATTATCTTTGCATGTCATGGTGAGCTATTGTTGATTTTAAGTTAAGATAGATCTTGTCATGCATAGTCTATTATTCAAACATCTAACAGTTAATGATTGCGGAAATTAAATTGCGGAAAATAAATCTAAGTTATTACAAGGCGCCAGATATTTACATCGCCAAAAACAAACCCTTAAAAATTAAATTGCAAAAAGTAAATAAAAGCGGTAAATAAAATCCTAAATTAAAACTATTACATCATCGGAGCAATTACAATTATATGGATCAAAGATAGTTTGCGCGAGAAAAAATTGAATCGGAATGTCCTTTAGGGTTTTGACCATTTTTATTAGATAAAACATATTTTTTTGTTATTTTTTGAATTAAAAATTAAGTCTAAATTAATAATTTGAATTAATTAATTAAAAGAAAATATTTTTGAATTTTTATTTTAATCTTTTAAAGAAATAAAGTGAGAATGATTAAAAATATTAAAAAACCTAATTCTAAATCAATTTTAATTTATCGCAAAATATATTGTTATTAAACCTATTTAAACTAAATTAATTAATTAATGATTTATTTACAAAAATAAATAATAAATTAATGGAATTGATAAAAACATTTTTGTTGTTTCTGATTTTTTTTATAAAAAAGGTTAATTAATTAATTAGTTAATTTTTAATAATAATAATAAAAAGCAATAGAAAAATAGTGAAAAGAAATACAAATATAAGCAAACTCAGGGGGGTGCTGGGCCCAATTTGGAAGTAAGATCAGCAATTCTTGGCCCAGGTTCAATCAGCCTTGTTTGACTTTGGTAACTCCTGTGTGCGCCCTTGACTTTGAGAACATGATGAAGACTCTAGCCTAGCCATTGGATCTACCTTGGTAGCCACGTAACCTTTGAGATCTGGAGGTGTATGGTGATCCACGCCTGGAGAAATGCACATGAATCCCTAAAGAAAAAATATAACAAAGTTTTGGGGGATCTGGGATTCGAACCCAAGTCCCAAGGGACAATTCAACTAGCGCGCTACCAACTGAGCCATGATGTTAACCTGTTAGTGGAATATCAATCAAATATTATAAAACAAACCAACAATTATTCCCTGCAAAAAAATAAAAACGCGCTAATATTTCAAATGGCCCTGTAGTTGTTTAGTTATTGGCATGCATTTTTGGTAAAAGCAGGTGTGTGAATGTCATGACTGATGTCATAACATTCTAGTTTATTAGGTACTGATTTATTAGGTACCTCTGCAGAAAAATATTGTCATACAGGTGCTGCTGTTTATGAGTGTGTATCTGAGCATTTTGCAAAAAGATCACATTTACCAAAATCAGTAGACAGGAATTCAGATGTCATAACAAATGTTAAGACATCCTGCTCTGAACTAACAATTATGCAGTTTGGGTAATTCTGAGTTTTTTCAGGATTATGACTCAGTCTTTCCAGAACAGAAAATCTCGTGGACTTGGGGTTAACCTAGCTCAACCCTAACCTGGTTGATAAAGTCCTGTGACCTAGTCTTAAGGTCAAACGGAATTAACCCTAGCTTTTTGTGGAAACCCTAACTGAAGATACAGCTGCTATATATTCAACAGAGCTGCTGTTTTGGAAAAAATCCCTTTTTGACAGAAGATCATTTAGAAGCTGTATAGTTTTAACTATTGTAATCCAAGCAAGTATCATTGTGATAAGTGACTTGGAATAGGTTTTAATTGTAAGGGTTGTGTACCACTCAAAGCTTTGAAGCAAGAGTGTGTTTGTGTCTCTTGACTAAAGCTTTGAAGCAAAGTCAAGTTAGATTTGTGTATCACTCAAAGCTGTGAAGCAAGAGTGTTTATGTTGCTTGATTAAAAAGCTGTGAAGCATAATCAAGTGTATGTTTTGAAGAGTGTCTTCATCAATTCATTAGTCAAATTGTTTTAAGTATCACTGCTGTGATTGAGGGGGAGTGAGTAGGAACTCAGGTTTAAGTTGTACTTAGATTGAAGTTGCATTGGGTAGGTCTTAAGTGAAGGAGATAAACTGGTTGGTTTATTCCTGAATTAATATCTCTTATAGTGGATTTCCTCCCTAGCTTGGTAGCCCCCAGAGTAGGTGTTGTTGCACACTGAACTGGGTAAACAATTGACTGTGTTCTTTACTGTTTTTTGTATTTACTGTCTTATAGAAAGTCAGATACGGTGTCATAACATTGAATGTGACATTGAGTATCTGCAGCCAGAATTTCAATTGGTATCAGAGCAGGCACCCTGCCTGTATTACTGGGTGAGATCTAGGGATATCACTTTCTGGCACTATGGACAAAGAAGGAGTTTTTGGAAATAGACCACCCATTCTGGATGGAACAAATTATGACTACTGGAAACCTCGTATGATTGCCTTCTTAAAATCTCTGGACAAAAAGGCTTGGAGAGCTGCTGACAAAGGATGGAACCATCCCACCATAACTGAGAAAGATGGGACAATCAGTCTGAAGCCTGAGGAAGATTGGAGTAAAGAAGAAGATGAGTTAGCCCTGGGAAATTCCAAAGCTTTAAATGCCTTGTTCAATGGAATTGATAGAAACATTTTCAGACTAGTACATCAATATGAACTGGCTAAGGAAGTTTGGGACACTCTCAAAACTACCCATGAGGGCACTTCCAAAGTAAAAATGTCAAGGCTTCAGATGTTGACTACCAAGTTTGAGAATCTAAAAATGATGGAAGATGAAACCATTCATGAGTTTCACATGAACATCTTGGAGATTGCCAACACCTCAGGAGTACTGGGAGAAAAGATGTCAGAAGAAAAATTAGTGAGAAAGATTCTCAGATCCTTTCCTAAAAGATTTGCTATGAAGGTAACTGCCATAGAGGAAGCCCAGGACATCAGCAAGTTGAAAGTGGATGAACTAATTGGGTCTTTTCAGACTTTTGAGATGGGGATTACTGATAATGGTGACAAGAAGAACAAGAGCATAGCACTTGTATCCAACACTGATGTTGAAAACAAGGAGGATGAAGAAGAAAATATTTCAGAAGCTATAGCCATGCTTGGAAGACAATTCAACAAACTCATCAAAAGAATAGATCCAAAGTCAAGGTCTAATGTTCATAACATTCCCTCTGACATTGACAGTTCCAGCAGAAGACCAAGGTCAGAAGAGAAGGGAAATCAAGGCAGAGGAATTCAATGCCATGGTTGTGAAGGATATGGGCATATTCGAGCTGAATGTCCTACCTTTCTTAAGAAACAAAAGAAAGGAATGACTGTTACTTGGTCTGACTGTGATTCAGAAAGTAATTCTGAAGAAGAATCTGCCAAACTAGTTACTGCTCTAACTGGTGTTTGTACCTCTGAAAGTGACACTAGTGATGAAGAAGTGACATTTGAAGAACTGGATGATACTTACAAGAAATTGTGTATCAGAAGTGCTGAAGTCTGTGTGCAGAATGAGAAACAATCAAAACTCATCATAAAGCTGGAGGCTGAAAAAAGGGCAGACCGTGAAACTATAAGTCATCTAGAAGGGGAAGTTCAATTGCTGAACTCACAACTGAACCAAATGACCAAATCTGTCAAGATGCTGACTAATGGAACAGACAAATTGGAAGAGATTCTTCAAGTTGGACAAAATGTGGGAAACAAATCTGGACTAGGATTTGTGGAAGCTAAGAAATCTGGTGCAGACAAGAAGATCAGGCCTGTTAAACAAATGGCAAAGCAGATGTCTTAACACAACTCTCAACAC